CATTAAAGTTCATGTGTGTGTAAAGGCAGGAGTCCCAATACTTTTGGCAATATATTGTATTTATTTAAAGTATTTAAAGACTTGCTCTAAGGCCACATTCTGTCCCCATCTGAAAGGACGAAGCTACTTTTCCAAGAAAGTACCATGGCTTCAGAGTTGGAGATGCTTATTCTCACCCCGACCACTTCACGCAAATACAGTGCTCCAACCAGTGCCCCCCCACACTCAAAACAATGAACTAAACAGCAATGCACAATTAAGACATTGCAGATGATGTGTCATTTGCTTTCTTGTTCGCTGCTGCTTGACACTCTTGGGCCTGACCGTCAGATTTGTTCCGGCACCCACGCTGCTCAAGTATCATGTTGGAGGTCCTGTTAAAACTAAGTTAAACATGGATCATCATCTGCAAGTGATAGGGATGCCATGTCGTGGCCCCCTAGTGGACGATCCTCCATCTGTGCCTTGATATTCTTTCCATGAAAATCATCAATAGGGGTAGAGACAAGATCCATACTGATAGACACCAAAAGGCACTCTGAATGGGTTCAGGTTTGTACTAAAGATGCAGACACAACTCCCACTGTGTCCATACAAGGACTGAATGACACACAGCAGTGACCCTAGATTTCTATAGCACCTCCCACAGTATGTGGCTGGGCACATGGTCTTCCCATGAGCCTTCTTCAAGCCCACAAAGTAGATGGAGACAGTGCTATTCCCACAACCACACACATAGCTGCAGGAAAGCTGATTCACCAGAAGTTTCCAACACTGCCTCCCACTGAGAAGAGAAGCAGTTTCTCGGGACACTCTTTCCACCAAACCCTAGTCCAAGATGGGAACACATGCTTTTATTTTCGTTTTGGATTCTTACTGGATTGGAGTTTACCTGGCCTCTCCCCACAGACCTTTTCACCAAGAGATGCCCTACTAGAAGCTTCAAGCAATATGCTGTGGGTTTGGTGTTTGGCCTTGTGAGACTGGGCTCTGTATCTGTGACTGGGAGATGTCAGATAGACGTTTGTCCCTGCACTCTAACCTTCTCTCTACCTGTGTCTGTGTATCTCATAGGTGAATAAAATGGGATGTGTCAATTTCTGTATAAAGTACCTGTACTGGTATTTGACCAAATGACAAAGCACAGTTATAATTAAATAGCTCTGCAGCTCGTTAAGGTTCGCAAACCCCTCTACACACTAAGATCATTAATGAAGGTGGTTGGGTATTACTATTTTTGTTGTTGTCATTAAATATTTTGTATTATTATTGCTCTTTGTTGTTCGCAGACTTATAACTGCAGCACCAACAATAAAATAACCATAATCATAAACTGCTTATTTCAAATATATTAGGCAAATATTGATTAATAATTCACAGCAAAGCGCAGGATTTAAAATTAAATATAAGAAGAACGTAATAATAAATACATACATTTTCTGTAAGGCTGGGTAGTGAATTGATACTTCAATATTTGAAACTCACGTTACGCAATATTTTATAGACAATTTGAAACTCAGGTGAGTGATATCATCTCAACAAATGGGGGCACTTACTTGTTGGGGTTACACATTTCATTATTTTATTATATTAAGTCATCCCATTACAGTAGAACGTGCGGTAAATGCTAGCACAAAACCTAAACTGGACCATTACATCATTCCAGCCTGGAAGCGCGACCGCCTCCTTCACTTTATTGGAGGAGAAGCGTGGCCTAATAAAGCTATTGGTTAATGACATTGTAAGTCGGGGATGCGGGAGGCGGGCACTTCGGGGCGCGCATTGTGCTTCAAATACGGTGACAGAGGGGACGTAGGCTTCCGTGTGCGGACGCGGTGAAGGTGCCTAAGTCGCTATACAACAAATTCGTCCAAAGTCAGATAGGATTGCCCAGGTTTAGGACTGCAAAAACAAATAGCGTACATGTTGTTTCGGTAGAAATACCTGCCGGTATTGAAAATTAATATTGTTGGATATATATTGAAATTACAAATAGGTAACGCAAGTGTATCTTCATATTGGACTCCGCCTGCAAATTCTGAAGGTAAGGGCGTCACTTACTTCGAGCTTTTTAGTGCTTATTTTGCACAGTCGTGGTGTTCCAAACCGTTTTATTTAAAGTTATTGAAATTAATGTAATACTTATGGCCGCGTTATGCATGCTGGCTATGTATGCTGGTCTCCGTCCCAAGTATATCCTTGAATGTGTCCCTATATTTATATGTTCACGCAGAGGTGGGTGTGCTGTGTGCGTTTCGGCTCACGGGATTACCGTTTTCCTAAGTTTACAGTAAAGTAATGCTTCTCTAATGTTCACTGCATGCTGAGTAATTACTGCCCCTGATTTCATAATTGCTGATTTAAAAAGTGATAGAAATACATAAGTATCGAGATCTTCTGGTGTTGGAAATATTATCGATGTTAGATTTCCATTTCTAAAAGTGTCGGATGGAATTTTGTGATATATTGGTTAATACTATACATTTTTCTCGTTAAATGTATTTATTATAACATTTTTTTTTATTTAATAGGTATGGTATTTCGCAAAGTATTTTATATAAGCGATAAAAATGCATCTTCATTCATTTTAATGTGAAAATTGCGCACATATACGACTTTTTTCTAACCCTTAAGGTGGATAGTAACAGAAGTTAAATAACAAAGGCATTTTCATAAAGGAATTCTTCTGGTTTATATATTTTAATGCACGGCCTCATTATTCCGTCTTTCTGACTGTGCCTAACCATGCAGAGTTTTCTGATGTGAAAAATGTGCCCGGACGCCGTTTTATTTCCTGTGTTTTATAGGAAGTTATTGAAACATGGCTTAGCTTCAACACGACTGAAATTAGCGTTTAATATATCCGTATGTATTGCATTCTCTGAATACGTTTGATTGTGCATCCTTACCAACTTAATTTAAGCGATCGTGCTGTAATGAGCTCTGCAAATGAAGAATGAGCAGAAATGTCGTGTCCTTCTGGAGACGGGCAATGCGCTGACTACCGTGAATGCACAGGACACATTGCCAACTGCACAGTTGCAAAACGTTTGTGAATCCTGCTGCTGTGGTTGCGTTCTCTGGTCAAAAGTGCACTGTTTGTGCTTAAATATGTTACCGTACGTGGTGTGATCATGAAGAGGCACCGTGCACATCACATCCAAGATTAGTCTTGATAAAGTCATTCCTGAACTGAAGATACTTCCCTTCCTTGCAGCCTGTGCTGGTCAAACCATTAGGCGATATAGACGGCAGCCTAGAGCGCCATTTTTTGAGAGGTCGCTGAATTTGGAAACGGACGGCGCCCCATCCTGGCGTGAGGAATACGTAGAGCGCGCCGTCCGAGACTAAGGGCGGTGAAGATTGTCTAGGGCATGGGTGCCCAATCTTATCCGCAAAGGGCCGGTGTGTTTGCGGGTTTTCGCTGCAACTCCCTAATTAGATTACTAATTAGAGGACTGATTGGCTGAAGAGTCCTCACACCTGGGTTTGAACAGCTGACCTACAGGCCCTTTGCGGATAAGATTGGACACCCCTGGTCTAGGGCGCGCCATGGGCTTCCATTGGCTTTGCTTGCAACAATTTTTGTGCTGAACAGATTATGACACATAGTTAGTCATAATCTGCCATTGATATGTTTAAGAAATGTTTTAATATTCTCAGTTGTTATGCACCTTTGATTCCTGCTATGCAATGACTGCTTCGCCGCTCTGAGGATGTCATTCTTACATTAAGCAATTCAACATGTAGCTGCACAATTAAGCTTAAATGTTCTTGTCCTTGTCCAATAAGCCATTCCAGATGACTTTTTAGTGAGTCTCTCAGCTACTTGACGGTGTTGATATTGGAGCCGGTGGGTGTGGGCTTCTGAAGGGGAAAGACCTTCTTTGAGTTCTGGGTCTCCGGAGCTTCGATGGTGACAGACACGATCTGGACTGAAAAACGACTTTGAAAAATTAAATTTCAAAGTAAATGTGAGAGTTTGTAAAGGAAGGAGAACAAGTGTATGCTCTACAGGAGAGCATATATTTCTTACCTAAAGACAAATACAAGTTCTTCTTAGACACTTTTATTAACAGCATCTTATGAATCTAATCCATTTTAAAATGAAATTGCTGAGGTGCCGCTGATTTGGGTTTAGGAACTCAGGCTTTGTTAGGGTGTTACTCTAGCCTTCTAACAAGATATTAGTAACTTTTAGGAGAAATAAATTCCTGTTAGTTTTTATTGTGTTACTGATAATTTGCACATGTTCAAATGTTAAACTGTGTTTTAATTTCAGAGATAAAAATAGCTTTAAAGATTTCCTGTGACTGCCTAAGACTTTTGCCCAGTACTGTCTATATATATATGTAGGATGCTGTTCAAAGTCAATTCTCAAGCTCGGTTCACTATTTTTATCACATATTATGGATGCATTTATTTTGTTACATACTGTTAATAACTAGCGTGTCTGAGTGTATATCTCACATAGACCACTCACTACAGCGAACATTAAATCCCTTACTAATAATACAGAACTAAGTGTTATGTACATCCTACACAGGAACATGTTGGGAAAGCATTCAGCCAGCTTCTGTTTCAGCAGTGCACTGCTGGGTTTAATCTCCAGCTGACTTTAAGCTCTGTTTTTCACTGCACATTAACAATAAGTGCTCCATGCCCTCCGGTGAGTACAAAAATAGGGTCTCCCCTGTTTTACATGTTTTGACTATAGGATAATAATAAATAAATACATTTATTGTTCAACAGACTGATTGGGAGAGCATGGGGGGTTCTGAGGTCGCTGGAAAGGGGTGTGTGGCGCTCCAGATATCTTTGTAAGAGGAGGAGGGTCCAAGTCTTTAGAGTCCTGGTGCTCCCTGTCTTGCTGTACAGCTGTGGGACATGGACGCTATGCAGTGAGCTGAGACGAAGACTGGACTCCTTCGGTACTGTGTCTCTTTGGTGAATCCTTGAGTACCGCTGGTTTGACTTTGTGTTGAATGAGCGGTTGCTAGATGAGTCCCCAATGAGGCACATTACCTGCATTATGAGGGAGCGTCAGTTATGGCCCTACGGCCATATGGCGCGTTTCCCTGAGGGTGACCCAGCTCGCAGGATCTTCATTGCTGAGAGCCTGAGTGGCTGGACCAGGCCAAGGGGACACCTGACTACAGCAGATAGACGGCTATTTCCGGGGCATGGGACTAGACCACGTGTCACCCTGGGGGGGTCACCAACCAGGACCTGGAAGTGTTTTTTTGTGTGGAGGCCGTGGTAACACACTGTACCAGTGCATGTTCGGCAACCTGAGCCAACCTGAAAATTTCGAACATCTAAATATCCACGTTTTTCTGCATGCAGTTTATAGCTTACAAAAACTCTAACAAAATATCTGTTGTGGAAAATGTGAAAAAATAATAAGAGGAATGATTGCTGAGGGTGTAAAAATTTAAATAGTGTACCCTACCTGAAATAATTAGCAGTTGCACAATGCTTTTAATTAGCTGAATTAGACCGTATGCACATTTTTTACTGCATGTAGCGATTTAGCGCAGTACTTCTGCTCTCCGTGGGTAACACGGTTGCCCCCCAGTGCTGGGGGTTGGAATCTTGAATTTGCTCTCTCATTGTGGAGTTTGTTCTCGTCGTTTGTTGCATGTGTATTCTCTGTGTACTCCATGTTCCTCCTGCAGTCCAAAAAAGTGCTTTTTGTTTGAGTGGGTGCTTGTAGGTGCCCTGCAATAGACTAGGATCCCGCTAGGGTATACCTACACCTTGTATCTTACAATTTTATGCTGCCTGTGTCCTATACAGCCCCACCCACGATCCCATCCTGGATAAGCACTCCAAAGATGGATGCAAAATACTGGCAGTATTCCAGTGATAGTAGTGTTGTACCTAAATATGAGGAGCCTCTAATGAAGGTGTTTGAAATAAAGCTGATAAAATAATATTAAAAGTATAGGAGTGTCATAAATTAGCCTGTAAAATTTTGCATTCTTTCCTGAGTGTATTGACATATGTAGTGTTAACACATTTTACCAAATTAGCTCAAACATAAATATCTCACTGCTTGATGCTTGTGTGGAACATTCCTTTAAATTGTGACGGGCAGTGCGGCACACAGTTCATAAATCATCCAGATTGCATATGGTGTTGCCCACAGACTTTGAACATGGTGTCAGAATTAGACTGGAATATAGAGAGCTAAACTTAAAAGCCTTACATTCTGCCTTTTGTTCACTGTGGGTCCGTGAGACAGCCTCTCAAAAGTGCCCTGGTGTTGTCTGAAAGGATTTCTGATTTTTCAGTACTAAGATGTAAACAAACTGTGAGAGTGTAGTTAAAGATTTGGTCGTGGGATACTCCACAGTGTCTTTAATGGCCTTTATTTTTTTTGCAGTTCAGCTTAATACTTTTCTATGTCTTTCCTGCGTCGTTTATTCCTGCCCGCTAATGTATTTGCTGAATCAGAATAACGAGGGAAGCCACCTAAATCCAGCTGCAAATGTCCTCAGTGAAGCACTGGCTTGCTAACTCATCAGATTTGGGCAACGCGAAGTAGGGCAATGCTCAAAGTGGACACTAAAGTGGAGGGTGACTGGGGGGTGACCCGTGCCAAGGTGCCGGTATAATGGGAGGGAAGGTTTCGGAAGCTCATGTGTGTATCACATGGCTTGGCGTGCTCGAGGAGCACATTTGCATAGCCTCTCTGCAAGGCTAATGAACCAGCTTCACAGAGCAGATCAGTGAAAGCGTGGCTTTCTGTGGGAGGAAAGCTGACAGGAGCTTTTCATGTTCTGGAAGAAACGCACAGTAAAGAGTCATATAGAGCATCCTTAACTCAGTGTGTTTATTTCACACTGATATGTTTCAGTGTCCTATCTATCTATCTATCTGTCTATCTGTCTATCTATCTATCTATCTATCTATCTATCTATCTATCTATCTATCTATCTATCTGTGGTTCAATTGCAGATGCTCCTTGTGAGGTCCTCAGCCTGCCTCTGTCTTTCAGCGATCATTCTATCATGTATAAGAACAAAAAGCCCACTGCAG